GCTAATTTTTGAAGTAGACACAGATGCTTTTTCGCTGATTTGGGGCTTGGAGTCAGTGTACCTCTGCAGAGATATGTTGGCCTGTGATAAATATTGAAAAGCATTTTGTGCAAATTACAGATCATCGACTTTTCTGACAAACAGAAATTCAGTATTTAATTTTCCATTAAATGTAAATGAGCTCGTTTTTTATCTCATTGTTCCTGATAGCTTTTCTCTTTTTTGCAAAATAAAAAAGCCTAACCCTAAATAAATAGTTTTAGATTTATAGAACATTAAATGACAAAAGCATTGCTTTCATTTTCTCTCAAGGAGTCTGTAAAGATTCCTCATACATACTCCCTGTTCATTGTTAGGTTCTCACACGTCCAGTGCCCTACTGACTTGGGGCATGGCAGGCTTGTATCTCTTACATACAAGAGATGTGCTCAGGTCAGGGCATAACCAACTGGTATATTCATTTAAATGGCTGTAGAGACACACAGCATTGCTGCCTTCTCCTACGACCACCCAGTACTTGAAGGAGAGTGGTTTCTAGCCACAAATGTTCCAAGTACTCTGAGTTATCAGTGAAAGCCTTGCATGCTGGAAATGTTCATTTTGTTGTTTGAGTGGGTGGGGAAAAGAGTCAAGTTTTGGTCTTAACGAGTGCAGCACCTGTTCAAGTGAGATCTGTGTTCACTGCACTTGCCTCTCATGTACTCTTACTGGAAAGACTGTAGCAGAAGCTTGAGTCTACCAAGCCATCCTGGCTGATTTTAAATTTGTTAAAAAATGAAATATATATGGTGTGCTGAACCGGATAGGGCAAGGAGCTGTAAACTGGGCATGCCCTGCCCAAACCAAGACGATGGGTCACCCTAATGAGGACTAAAAGCTCAGGGGACTGTATTGGTAAGAGTAGTTGAGTTTTAAATCCAGTAGCTACTTAGAGCATGGGGTGCTTAGGAGAGGAAGCAGAGATCAACCCTGACAATGTGTTCCAGTCTGTGAACTCTTCCACACAGATTTATCTCAGGATATTTGTGGGTAGTGAGCAGAAGCAGCTCTTCCTTGAATTTCATGCTTTGTGACCTGGGAGCCTCTTCTGGAATATTAACTTTTCTTGGACTGCTCATTTTCCAGATGGGAGTAATAACACCAGAGAATGAGTAACTCTTACTTGTTTGAAGGCAAATCTTAAAGACAATAGAAATGCTATGGTCAGTGGACTGATGAGAGTTTCACCCCTCTGCACACCACTATTACTGTTCTGGTACAAGCTACCACCTGCTCTTGCTTGAGCTCCTAATTGGCTTCCCCACAGCAGCCAGAGGGATTCTTTTCATGTGTATCAGGTCATTTCAGCCCTTTGCACAGAATTCTCTAAAGACTTCCCATCTCACTCCTGAAGTCCTTTCGTTGCTGAAAAAGTCCTACTTAAGGGGCTTCCAAACCTCGCTGGCTCTGCCTCACAATAGGCAGTGTATTCTGTATTGCCACAGTGCCAATGTGCCAATACATGTGTAACGGAGACAAAATTTCCTTCAATGACCCTTGCCAGTATTATATGTAAGATAGCCTGATATTTTCAATTTTGTTGTTTGTTTCTTTTTTCTTTAAATGCTGGTTGCAAATGACAAAGTCAATTTCATGGCCTATCCATAAATCATGCCCCTCTGTTTAGAGAACAATTTACTATATGATCCCTACCTACCTCTCTGATTTGATGTCCGCCACTCCGCATCCTCCTTGCTTACTCCCCTCCAGTTACACCTGTGTCCCGGTTTAGCCTCAGGTATGACATGTTCACTCCTGCCTGAGGGGCTTTGCATTTGCTCTTCTCTCTGCCTAGGACCCTGTTTCCCTGGATGATGGCCTCATTGCTCACTTCCTTATTCCGTTTGGAGTTATGCTCAAATATTTTCCTATCAGAGACTGTCCCTTACCGTGCCCATGCCTGCATTCTCTGTTCTCTTATCCTCTATCATTGTCCACTGTAGCCCATATATATTATATAACATTCAATATATATACATTTTATGTTTGTCTCCTCACTGGGAGAAGCTGTGTGAGAGTAAGGATTGTGTTCTTTCACTGTCTGCTGAATCTGCAGAGCCTACAGCAGTGCTGGCACCATTGTGGGTAGCCCTTTCATATTAGTTGAATGAATGAATAAATGTAATTCACAGTCTGAATTGCATTTATCAAACTTCCCAGGAGGAAAGTCCCTAATCTGTCACATATCTTTTTTCAAAGCCACTGACTTTGGGATGAGGCCTGGGTGGACTCTGTAGGCAGGCCTAGCACCATTTGGTCTAAGGATTTGGGGTCCTGTGCACCTTGAGCATGGACTAGAAGGGCAGTGTCGTTCCAGGGAGAGTGTGTGCCCATGGCCCACAGACTTGGCTGTGGGGAAGGGCACCGCTGTTGGTGGGCCAGAGCAGGCTCTCTAAATTGTGGGCCCCTGTTGTCCAGGTGTGGTGATGGTATCACACAGGATTAATATAATAATCAGGTTCTGCCTGGTAGCCCGTGATGCGGATGTTTTGATGATCCTTTCTATGGGAGCAGTAACAGTGGCATTCTGATGGTATCATTTCTGTCTGGCATCATGCAGCTGTGTCAGGATGGCTTTGGGGAAGAGCTTGGTGGCTGAGGATTGATCAGGACAGGTTTGGTGCGGTGAAGTGCCCCAGGGAGGCGCTGTCCGGTGCTGATGCTCTGACAACAATAGCCACCTTCCTGATTTTCCCGCTCTAGTGTTCCTCTCTTTCCACCTGACCTGCACATGGCTGCCTGGCAATGCCTCTTAATTCAAAAGAATTAAATATCCTTTGTTTTTTACTGCTTAGTAAGGCATGATCTTTTTAAAAATTCTAAGTATTAAGGAAATACATTAACATGAGAAAGTAGAAGTCTTATGTAATTCTACCTCTGAAGAGAAACACTTCTGTCAGTTCGGTATATACTCTATTAGTTTTTTACATATTTACCAACAAATGTATTTTGCATTTTTATTTTTATAAACATTTTACATGTTAGAAAATCACTGCTGTGCAGGTTGCCTGTTTTCACTGAATAACGTATTGTTATCAGTTTTCCATAAAGTACTGCCTGATGTACCTCATTCTTTTAGTGCCTGGATCATATTCTGTATTATGGATTTGCTATTTCATTGAACCAGTCATGATCTTGGCATCATTTGCAACAGTACCCATAAATACCTTTTCATATTTGCATTTGCATATGTGTGTACATATTTCTTGGGACATATTCTGTGTGCTGATTATTAGTTTTTAATTTCTTTAATTCTGTACACCCCAATTTGGAAATCATCAGTGGCTCTGACCACTTATAGAACAAAGTCTAGACCAGTGCTGGTAGAAATATAATGTGTGACACAAAATACTTTAAGATCTTCTAGTATGCTCATTATAAAAAGTAAAAAGGAACAGGTAAAACAATTTTAGTTACATCTTATTTAAACAAATGTATCCCAAACATTTTATATGTAATGTGTAATCAATGCCAAAACAGAATTACATAGATATTTTACATTCTTTTTTTGTACTAAATGTTTGAAATCTGCTCTGTATTTTACACTGAAAGCACATCTCAGTTTGGACTGTCCACATTTCAAGTTCTCAGATAACCTCACGGGGCCAGTGGCTGCTGATTGGGTAGCACAGGTCTGATGTCCTTAGCCTGGTACTTAAGGAGCTTTACAAATAAGTCACAGCCAATCAGGTAGAGCCCACCTGCATTTGCCCCTGACACTGCTGGGTCCCACAGACCTACAGTGTGTCCTCTTTCTTTTTCCTGAATCCTGCCCATCCTGTGGCAGGGTTTCCCAGCCTTGGCACTATTGACCTTTGGGGTCAGCAAATTCTTTATTGTGTGAGTGTCCCCTCAGCCATGAGCCTCCTGATGTAGCGCCCTTGATTAGGAATGCCTGCTGTGCTTAGTGGGCCTACCTCACTTGTACCAAGTGCCATAGGCATTTCCATTTATGGCTGGACTGCTGCTTGTGGTTCTTATTATGGCTGCAGGATACACATGAGCAAAAGCCATCAGAGAACCTTGAGTAACAAGATTTATTACTTATAGGTCCAGAAGGGTACACGGCACACCTGTGGGCCACACAGTGAGGTCACTGGCAGAGAGAGACAGAGGTGAGAACCTGGGGTGAGGGATGGAGAGAGATGGACCTGGGGCTCTGCCTTTATAAGGGCCCAAAGGAGGGGTGTCTAGGGTTTTGCAGGTTCGCTCTTTATTGGCTGACTTAAGCCTAAGAGCAGGAATTAGGGTACGAGGAGGGAGAAGCAGGGTCACTCAGCAGCCGGCTGTCTAGGTTATCCAGGTCTTTCTGACAGAGAAACCTTCCTGTGTGCGGGCTGCTTCCTTAGTTCCTGGTCTGGTTCTGCTAGTAGCTGTGTCATCCAGCCGGCAATATGTTTATTCAGGGTAGATCTCTTCTGAAATGGATGCCTTGGCAATCAAAAGCTGAACGCCAGGCCTTTTCAGTACAATTAAGCTTAGTGTCAGGCACTTAGGTGCTAGGAAGGCCGGTCTCTGCATTGTAGGGTGTTAGCTTCATCCCAGCCTTACTCCCACTGGATGCAAATAGCACCTTCTGACTCTCACCTGTGTGTAACCAAGCAGGTCTGACACCAAGAACCACTGTTTTAGGGTCAGTCTTGAATCTCTAATTACCCCGTGAGGTGGTTTTTTAGCCAATTGGATGAGCCTACTGTGACTTACCCTTTCTCTGAACTTGACTTACTGTCCAGCCAGTGTGGTAAGTATGTATTGTAAAAAAGTTGGTTTTCATTATTTTCCGTGAAAGATTCCTAGTTGATAGAACCTGTGGAACCAGTTGGGAAGTGTTGGTTTTTGCCCACATGTGTTGGCTTACATTTTGTGTTATTCAGCACTTGCCAGTCTAGGGCTTTTTTCCCTAAACTTTTGCAGGACTGCAGCAACCTATTTAATGCCATTGCATTCCTCACCTCATTTAGCACAGTGCTGTACTCCAGAAATGCCAACGGAGAGGTTGTAGGACTTGCACACTAGCACTTCATTCCACTAAGAAGTTGTGGCCAGCTAGCTGTATAGCTGCATCCACCGACTGCAGCTGGAACCTCTGAGACTGGTCAACGAGTGATTATCGGCATCCTGGGAACCATTCAACTGAAATGTCCAGCAGGAAGACTGTACTAAACAGTGTTTTAGATTCAGAGTAAGTGACTAGGCTCTCCTTTTTGTTTCTAGATGAACCTACTGACAACAGATGATAAATCAAGGAGTATAATGGACAGAAATGGTTGACTACTGAAGAGCAGCAGTAGTTGGGAAATGGCTAATGTCTCAAGGAGGGATGGATGATAAAAGAGAGTGGGGAACCTTTAAAATCACAGTGATACTGCTATGTGTAGCCAGGGGCAGGAATGCACAGACCTTGTAATAGGAACCCAGAGTGTTTTCTGCTGTGGTGGTGTGTTCTGAAATCTTGTAGCTGTAGACACAAGAGATACTGGAAATGACAGTCAGATGGAAGAGGAGTGTAAGCAGAGAATAGACAACAGCAAACTGGCACATAAGTTGGCCTTCGGCTTGGTGCCAGCAGTTGATGTATTTCAGAGGTTGTAGTAAACCGGATTGCTAATCCTAAAGATTGGTCTGGTCGGTGAATGTACGTGGAATGGGAGTTAGAAGTTAGGGACAGAGTGGTGTGGGAGATGTGATAATAGGAATATTATGAGACATTTAAGATTATCCGTAGAAACACAACTGGAAGTGAAGGAAAGGCTGGAAAGTAGATCTGCAGGGAGAAGTGTCTCTGTCTCACTGAGACCCAAACAGGAAAAATAATAATAATAAATTGTGAGAAGAGTATTTGAGAACAAATTGATAACTGACAGAAGGTCCTGAAAGCCACCAAAATGACATACTGAGAGAAGCAGTGGGATTTTCTTCACAGGAGAGTTTTAAGAAGGAATGTTATTGCCTTCCAATTATGGCTTCATGTCTGTTCTCCCCATAGGCTCATGTACTCGAAACCCCTCCTGGCCCCATAAGAGAAGGTTCTATGGTCCTGATGAGATTGTGTGCACTGGAATCACTTCTCCTGGAAAGGAGATGCTAAAGGGTACTCGAATAAAATATTAAAATTATGAAGGACGTAACAAAGGCTAATCAGTTCTTTCTTTTCCCCAGACCTCATAATATGAGAACAAGGGTTATTTGATGAAATTAAAGAGTAGCAAATTAAGTGCTAATAAAATGAGATAGTCAGTTATATAATTCATTACTGTGGGAGGTCACAGAGGCAAATTCTTGGCTGGATTAAATATGGGGCTGGATAATTTTATGAGTACTAATGATATTTTTAACAGTGGAGGCTGATATTAAGAGAGAAGTAATCCTCTTAGATTCTCTAGGAGATGGTTTGCAGGGACCTCTGGCAAGTGGTGTCTGAGAAGTGTGACAGCAGGCTTTGTGGGTTCTAACCTTCAGTGGGGAACTGTACTAAAAATTCGCTTTTAAGGTGAACAATGCCCTAAGGTATTCCATTCAAGCTTCAGTCCCAACTTTTCTTATGGAGATCCAAAAGTTCTGTAATCAGAAGCAATTAGGGTACAAAGTTTTGTTATACAAGATGAGTAAGTCCTGGAGATCATATATTGTATGGCAGTGTGACTGTAGTTAATACTGTGCTATATAGTTAGAAGTTGCAAGATAGTAGATCTTAAATATTCTCAGCATATACACACACCCAAAGAAAAAAATGGCAAATGTGTGAAGTAATCGATTTGTTAGTTAGCTTGATTGTGGTGATTATTTCACTGTGTGTGTGTCAACTTGTATAGCTTAAATATACACAATTTTTATTTGTCAGTTATACCTCAGCAAAGCTAGGGAAAAAAAAATAAATGCTAAATAATTTTTTTTTAAATGAAGCAATTGGGAAAGACATTGCCCAGAATTAGATCATTTGTGGTCTTTGGGAATCTTTCAGTTGATTTATTATATTCCACCCATGTGTCAGGCACTTTGCTTGGAGTTTTAGTAATCTCTTGGTAATACAAACATTTAGATAAGTCAGTGCCTTTCAGAATGAAAGGAAAGGGCTGGCACCGCAGGTAGGCTGTAAAGGAGCATGGAAAAACAGGGAAGCAAAGAATAGCTCAACCTGTGTGGTTCAGAAAAGGTTCAGAGAAAGTGACGTTTACACTGAGTCTGACTGTTGCGGAGGAGCTCACTGTGTGTGATGGGCATTCTGGGCAGGAGGAACCAACGACATGCACAGGCCCGAGGCTGACTGTGATGTCGAGCGTCAGGGAGCCCCCAGTAGTTCAGACAGACTGTGCCAGGGGCCAGAGGGTCAGAGACGGAGAAGATAGGCGTGAGAGGAGGAGGGAGCCGGGTGGTGAGGTCCTGGGCCTGCCTGAGACCCTCTCCAGCAGCAGTACTTTCCCGTGGTGGTTGTAGTGGTGGGAGGTAGAGGAGAGGTAGGGTGGAGTTTCCAGAAAGTTCACTGACTGACAAAGGGCAGTCCCTCCAAAGCCTTGCCCCACCATCACAGGCTTCCCTATTTTGGCCACTGACACCAGTTCCCTGGCGGAGAGCCTTGTATTCACACAATTCTTTGATTCACTAGTTTTTATTACCTGACTGAAACCATCTTTACTGTGACCCTAATCACCATTATCAGTAATTAAAAAAAAAAAAAGCGCATCCTACCTTTAGGTAGAAGGCATTCTTATAGGTCTTACATAAATTAGGATGAGTCTAGGGTGTGTGCCTTGTCTTATTCCCTTGGGTTCTGCCTACAACCAAGTCTATGTTTGGGTGGGTTAGGAGAGGCAGATTTCCTTTGCCTGAACTTATACTCCAATTTCCTCTGTGAACTTGGCTCAGCAGACAAGCAGGGAAACATGCAATGTCTCTTAGAAGCAGATGGATTGAAATGTTAAAAATCTGTTTTGTTAAATGATTTTGGCTAACAGAATAATCAGGGGGAAAAAAGGCACCCAGACTTTGCTCTTTCTCCAGTGATACTTAAATGAGAATATCATTAATCACTCAGGGTCTAACTTAGAATTTCTACACCGTTAATATCGGTATGAAGAATCAATTAGAAATGAGAGAATATCATATACAGTCTTTGTGGTGCTTACAAATGCTTTATTACTATTATTTGTGTTGTTACAGTACAGTATGCGAGCAGCCGTTTTCTCTATCACATTGTAGAGAGTGGTGTCCGTATTTGGGACATATTTCCATGTCTGACCTTTTTCACAGTAGTTTAAGGCTCTTCTGAGAAGATGATTCTTCAAACACATGGGGTTGCTAGAGGCATATAAAAATGAGATTAGTTGCAGAACCAGATGGGTATGTGCTCAGTTTCTTGTGAAGTCATCTAAGTTACAGAGCGTCAGTGATAAAGTGTAGAACTAAATACAAGTTCTAAAGTAGACATATCCAAATGTTAGCTCTGTCTGGGGAGCTGGGATTGTTTTCACACAAGCCAACATTTAGGCTGGGTTTAAAACAGAAATTACAGTCAATCAGAAGGAAATGGAGGTGGGGATCAAGGAAGGAAAGAGGATTTAAAAGCTGAAGCAACAGACATGCCTCCTGGAATTTTGAGTGGCTTGTTTTTTTCTCCCTTTTTCTAACTTGTGATACGTCAATGTTATAATTCAAATACATTTTGAAAAATTCTCCTTTGAGGAAAGAACAGGCTGTGTCATGTCAGCATTTAGTATATATTAACCTTATCAACGGGGTAGTGATCAAGGATTCCTTTAAACCCAACATTAATTTACTGAAGTATTTAGTAATCATTTGTTCTCCAGGACACGTGGCAGGAGTAACACAATGTTTTCCTCCATTGTTAGACATGTCTGCATAATGAATCAGTCCAAGTTAGAGCCTTCTAAAACCATGGAAAACTTGGTTTTACATGAACTCTACCTTTTCTTGATTGGGCTTCCTTCACCAGGGTTATTTATGTGCAGTTGAGTGAAGAAGAAACATAAGCATTAAAAGACCAGTAATGCCAAATGATAAATACATCATTTCAAGGACCACGTGAAAATTGGTGAATATATTTAATACAACTTCATCATTTTTACAAAGCATTCTTCTTTTCCCTTTAGACCTTAGCTGGATCTCCAAAATACAAGTGAATCAACCGGCAGTTCTGAGGCGTGCCCGACAAATCCAGGCTCGGAGAACCGTGAAAAAGGAGTGGCAAGTAAGGGTTCCTCTTGAGCATTCCGTCCCTGTCATTTACAAAGCCCGGCCTCTTCCCTCAAGGCCACAGTATTGAATTTTGCTCAAGATGCATCTAAACTTAAAAGATTGCAGCTGTCCATGACTTATTTTAATAATTCATATATGACGATGATGGGTTGGAGAAAGATAACACATTTATCCAAACAAGTTAAAAATCTTATCACTCTTGAGTGGCAAAGCTGCAAATGAATTTAAGGCATCTTTATTCATGAGTGAATTCCATGGCATATTTTCTCCCCACATTTATTCAGTTTCTTAGACATACCTTCTTTGGTCATCTTCTATGTTAATTTTAAAACTGTAATGTCTAAGCCTGGTGTGTCTGCTGTTGAGGCCCTTCGGTGGAAGAGTTGACCTTCTTTGATCATCATGTTTACCTTACCTTGTTAATTTTCATAAATCTTTTTTCAAAATTTAAAAAACGTTTTGTTGAGTACTTATGTACTCAGCATGTTCCTCCACGTACACCACCAAAGGCGTGCTGTGCGTCATACAGGACTGAAAGGAATTCAGAGTTCATTGCACAAGTCAGGCAAAATATTGTGCTTGAAATCTTTCAGGGTGACATTTCACATTTTACTCCTCCTTGGAAATATTCTGATTGAAAAGATAAGAGGAAAATCATCAGAATGAGTTGTGAAATATGAGTATTTGTTTTAGAAATGTAATGGAATTAAAACAACAACAACAAAGTAGTGACTTTTTTGTTTAATGTTTCATCCCAAGAACCCTGGGTTTGGAAGTAAAATGTCAGATAAAACTGTCTTCTTAACTTCTCCCATATTGAGATAGCTATCAGGGGTTCTTTGTGGCTGAGATGGAGAAGTCAGATGTGGGGAATATATTAGGAATTTCAATTTGGGATGTCTGTGGGAGAAAAACAATTTTAAGTCTACTTACCCTTTTTATATATTCTGTGTAATGTTCAGGTCATTGATCATGCTTGAGCAATGTTTATGTCATATATCAAAATGATATGTCTTAGAACAGCATAGACATCAGATTTTAGCACCCATGTTTGTCTAATGATTCTCTGCTAAGTGGGTTGGAGATGAATTATTATTATTTTTTAAATCCTGTTTTTACTTTTCTTAAATCAGGCTGCTTGGCTTCTGAAAGCAGTTACCTGTATAGATCTTACTACACTTTCAGGCGATGATACATCTTCCAACATTCAAAGGCTCTGCTATAAAGCCAAGTATCCAGTCCAGGAAGATCTCTTAAGAGCTTTAAATATGCACAATAAAGGTAATGTTGTTGTGTATAATCTGGTGTTTATGTCTTTACAACACTAATTCCCAAACCTAAGAGGACTTAAGATAAAGTTCAGCTACTAAAATGATAGCAGCAGTAAAATTTGTGATAGAATTGTGTACATAGGCAAATAGTTGAGATTTTTCTCTGAGAAACAGCAGGGAGAGAATCTGCGTCTCATTTTTTAGGTCAGTTCTTTCCATGATGGATTAGAGTTACTGATAGAGACTTTCTTTATTTTTCTTTCCATTTCTTCAGTTTTGGAAATTTTCTATCTAGTGACTCTGAGATACTGATTCTGACTCCCTAGCCGCATGTGAAAAAGCCAGCCTCATTACTTAATAATCACATCTCATACATAAAGTATTTTCTGTAAGTAAATGGAATACTTTTGAGAATAAAGTACAAATGGGGAATATTGCATGCTTGTATATTAGGTTAGATCTTTTAGAAAAAGTTATATGCACTTTCTTAGTATACAGAAAGAACTTTCTAAATTTGCCTTAAGTTTAGAACCTTAACCTTTTAGAAATGGAGGAGACCTTTGCGAGTCTACCCCCTTATTTCTAAGCAAGGAAACCAAGACCTGGAAGGCTAGATGGTTCTTCAAGAACTGTGTTACTCAGTGGGCTGGTTTTAGGAGCCAGATCTTTCCATGGAAGGATGCTTCACGGTTCCGGAGTGCCTGCCTGTTTCTAAAGAATGCAGCTAGAACTAAACTATATTTTCTACCTTTATCTTGCATCTACCTACCACTTCAGCATTTTATTAAAAATAAAAATAATAATAATAAAAAAGGGAGAAATGTGGGATCAACATATAAATCAAGTACAAAAATCAAACGAATATTCATATTTGACCTGATTGTTTATAGGTCATAATGCGTGATCAAAACCGAAAGTTTCTGTGATGAATGCCCTTGTACTGTTCACCATGTAAGAATTTATTCACTATGTAAGAATTCGTTCACCATGTAAGAACTTGTTCGTTATGCTTCAGAAGATTGGAGACTGACGAGAATTAGACTTGAGATGGATTAATGATTGTACATTGAGCATTGACCCCCCTATGCTGAATTTTATTGTTGTTAACAACCATTTGATCAATAAATAAATATGAGAGATGCCCTCTCAAAAAAAAAAATAAATAAAATAAAATAAAATTAGATTTCACGTAAAAAAAAAAAAAAAAAGAATGCAGCTAGAGATGGTACATTGGCCCAATGCAGGTATTTTATCCCAGATAATTTATGGATAACTTACAGACTGAAACAACTGTACAGCTTTTGAAAAACATGTTTCTTTTGAGTTGACAATAAGATACCACCACCAAGTGTTAAAATAAAAATAGCACTTAAAAGTAACAATTTTTGGGGAAAGGGCTGGAAAAAAGGTAACAGCTTGGTATGAGCCTCATACTATATTGCTTTGTTTTATAGTGACTTTGATTTTTTGATTTAAATTTTTAGAATTTAATGACTTATTCCTCAAAGTGAGGGCCCTAGGTCCAGATTTTATTATTTCTGGCATGAAATGAAATATTTTCATTGAGTCAAGACCACCAAAGTGGTATTCCATGTTGACCGCAAAGAACAATGTATCACAGGTACTTCATTCCATGACTAACAATGAGAAAATGACCCATGTTGTCAAGAATTGGAAGGGAACATGCAATGTAAAAACCTTTTAATTTGTTGCCACTTCGTAGGGGAGTTCATTTTTCTCTCCTTTTGATTTCTGCCAATGTTGTAGTATAAGTAATAATTAAAAGCATATTGTGCAAATTGAACCTTACATAGTGAGCTCTTCCTTCACAGGCATCACTACAGCTGCTGTTTGTGTTTATCCTGCGCGGGTGCATGAAGCAGTAAGATCACTGAAGGCTGCTCGCGGTAGCATCCCGGTGGCATCAGGTGACATTGGTTGTGGCTTTTGCTGTTGTTTTCCAACATCCAGTGTTTCAAGTCAGACACTTTGGGGAATTATATACAGTTTTATACTATGATTTTAATTAGTTTTGTATATTTAATTGACTGTATTTATTCATTCTGTTAGTATTGTCTGCTAAATGGCAGACATTATATTAATTCTGAGGAATACAGAACTGTATCCCTGTCCTTAAGGAAACTTAGTTGTTGAGGAGGAATAGTCAAGTTTAAAATAATCATAAGGCAGGAGATGTAGTATAACATACATGTAAAATATAATCATAAAGGTATGCGGAAGGTATGGTTATAAGTCAGCAGGGAGATTGGTGATGCTGGGAGAAGAAGTGAATGCTTCAGAGAGGAGAGAATACATTGGATCTTAAAGGGCAAGGAGGAGTTTGCCGTGGTGGTAAGAAAGGGAATGGCATTTTGGATAGAGGGATTAGAATGTGTGAAGGCACGGAAGCATGGGCGGGGAACTGAAAGTGGTCTGCGATTGCTGGATCCTAAGGTGGGACAGTGGAGGGGCTATTGGGATTGAAGCTGGAGAGGTAGATGGGGGCCAGATCATCTAGGGAAACCATGGCAGTGGCATTTGGGCTTCGTTCTGCTGAGAGGAAGATACTGAAAGGGTTCAAGCAGAGGTGTGCCATGATCAGCTGCATGATGTCGTAAGCTAGGGGATGGTAGTGGACAAAGTAGAGAGCGGCGAAGTGCAGTTTGGGAAAGTGATCACAGCCCACGTGGGTGATGATGACAGCCACTGGCCATCCCACCTGCCTCCCCACCAAAGCATGAAAGAGGGTATGTTCAAGAGTTATTGACTTAAGATAGACTCAGTGGGATCTGGCATGAGTTAAAGGAAAATCTTCAAAGCTTTTATATAAATACATGTGTGTGTGTTTGGATAGATAGATACATAAAAAATTGGATTTTGTTTTTAAAAGAAGAGGAATATCCTGGTGCTTTAAAAAAGGAGTCTAAAAAGATCGTTAATTTATTTTATTAGGGGTGCATGAAAAGAAACATAGTATACAGTATTGATAAGCAATCCGTTTGTGAAGATTCCCAAAGTATTTGTCAGCTATACCTTTATTGACCTTAATGTCTCATCAGCCTCAGTCAATTCAGCTTTCCCTTTATATAACAGGGAAACATGCTTTCCTTTAAGATAGCAGATCCAAGGAATTTAATAACATCAAGGAAACACAAAAGATTATCTTTATACATGGGAGTGGAATTAATGATACACGTGTAAAAAATGTTAATACATTGTCAGAAATGCAGTTGTATTTTTATTTTCCTTTTATTTGTGCTTGACCCTGCTCTTCCCAACTTACCCTGCCCCAATTTTGTGGACTGTTTGGATGTTCATTTTAAGATAGGCCATAGCAGGAACTGATATTACAGTTTGGTTATAACAGCTGTAAATATGAATGAGTAAATCAAGAATACAATGATGGCCAACTTGATCAAGTTGGATCCAGAATTAACTAGTGTCCATCAAGGCAGGGCTGTAGCTACGGTTTTAGGACTATCACTGTGATGATAACATTTTCTTAATTGCAGTTTACTTAAAGCACCCTCATGAGCATCTCTGTAGCAGCTTCATTTCAGGTCTTCCAGAGGATGTAATGACAATATTGGTCCTAATGCCAGTTCTGTATGAGATAACATTCTATTTCTTCATACTTCACTTTTGTGTATAGTCCTTAAAGTCATTAACGCTTTTGTCCAAATGCTGATTTTTTTTTTGTATGAAATTCTGTGTTGATAGAATGACCAAGTGAAATTTGTCTTCCTCCCTCCTCCCTCCCTCTCTTCCTTCTTTCTTCCTTCCTTCCCCTCCTGTCCCTTCCCTGCTCTTTCCTCCCCTCCCCTCCCCTCTCCTTCCCTTCCCATCTTCTTGTTTACTCTGTCTGCACTAGTGGCCACTGGCTTTCCAGCTGGACAGACTCATTTAAAAACACGATTGGAAGAGATAAGATTGGCTGTGGAAGATGGAGCTATGGAAATTGATACAGTGATTAACAGGACCCTGGTGCTGACAGGCCAGTGGGAAGGTAGGTACATGTCCTTATCTAAGAGGGAGACATAGGTCTTTCCCGGTTAATCAAATGGTGAGGATCTGGTAAGAGGCAGCATGTTTTGAAAGTCATTGTTCTAGATTACAAGACACCAGATGAGAGGGTAGATCTAGGAAAAACATGGTAGGATTGTTCATCCGGTTCTCTTTATAAATCTAGGCAGTCGCCCACCTGCATGGTTTTTTTAGATCCCTTTGAGTGCTTAGGTGAATAGTTATTTTCATGCAATAGATTGCTTTTATTCTATCCTCTACTGCTTTGTTACTCATAACAAATCACTCCAGGCAAGTCTTTTATGCAAAGTTTATTTGAATATGATGGAGGAAATGTCCCTTTTTTATGTTAATCTTTGTGGATTTTAAGGGTGGGGGATTATTAATAAGGCAGTCTGTTTTTACTCCTGCTATTCTTGCACATAGTTCTCGTGAATATTATTTCATTTTCACCTTTGAGATTCATGATTTATTATCACATTGATCACAATAAAGAATTGCCCATTCCAGTAACAAGCCATTGTTTTTATAGTTAGATATTAAGAAATAGATTATACCTCTCTTAAATATATTTTATATGCCACAGATTGTTGGTAGCAAAAATAAGTACAGTTCTCTATTTCCAAAAAATTATTCTAGTAAGTAGTTTAGCTAATTTTTTTTAACAAAATCATAAAATAAAGCCAGAATCATATCGTTTCTTTAGATATGTAAATATCAAGTAAATGGCATATTTTATGGTAATTCTGGAGGTTTTGTCTGCTCACTGTTAAAAATTCTAACCAGGAATAAAGGAAGTGGATGTTCCACATAATCTCATCCCCTAGAAATAATTCCTGACAGTGCTACAGTGCACAACTTTCCAGACCTTTCTCTTCATATATACACACTATGCAGCTCCTACCATTTTTCAACGTACTTACTTTCAATAAAAAGTAAGGTTATATTGAATGTATTTTTCCTTAACTACCCACTGAACTTGCCAATTTCTCAAGGATATCTTTCTGTGACTCTATCCATCAATCCATCTAGTTCATTATCTGTAACTCCTAACTTTGTTATGTATCCATTTAAGAATTCCTTTTGGTTATGGGGTAGCAAAGATTCAGTCAATGGTCTAAACATTCAACGATTTATTCTCTTATATAAAGCCTGGAGGCAGGTATTTCTGGGATATTTTCACAGCTCCACAAATTTCTTAGTGACAGAGGCTACTTTTATCTTTACTTTCAAAATGTGCAGCTTCTACTCTTATACTCATGGGTACCCCCTTGTCTAAGACAGCTCTGGAGTCTCAGCCTCCACACTCATCCCCTAGACAGCAGGCAAGGAGGGCTTGTCCTCTGCCAAAATCTCACACAGCCTTTTTGCTTACACCTCACTGACCCAAGCTGAGTTACCTGGCCATGCTTGGCTGCCAGTGAAGCTGGGAAATGAAGTCTTCTAGCTTGGAATATTTGCTACATGCAGGGACATTCTCTAAAAAGAGGTGGTGTGCATTTCTGGGCTTAGATGGAAATGAGGGAGGGAGGTACCAGCAGGGAGGGCAGCGCGCCACAAGTTCAACAGGGCGCAGCAGTAAAAACCTTAATGGCAAAGGAGCAGGCGAAACAGCAACAAAAATGTATAAATAAGAAACCTTAAGTCAGAAAGTACAGCAGTCTGGACTGTTAGCTCCGGGGCAAGTCAGCAGCCCCTGAGAGCACCATTGAACTCCAGGAAATACACTCACTCCTCTGGCAGTTTTGAATGGTCTAGAAAAAAAATGTAAGGCCACCCATTGCCTTACACACCCATCCATACTCATCAACAGTTTTAGCCGTTGCCAGGTTTAAGCTCTTGACAGCTCACAAATAATCTTTTTGTGCTTTTAATTTTTGTTACTTTTCTTCTGGGTCATGTGTGCTTTTGACCAATTGCAGTCATTCTTGAAATGCTTATTTTAAATAGCTGTCCCTTGTCCCTACATATTAATTTGGCTTGTTTGCTTCTAGTCACAGATTCCAGTTAAGATTTAGGGCTAGAGTAAGAGAAAAAAATGATTAAGCATAATATTTAAAACAAATCTGGAAATAAACTGTGATTTAGTTGGATAAAAAAACTATGTCCTTCATGTCTTTTATTAAGCAGTTGTAGACACAGAAGTATGGTGGTTTAAATGATAACTTGTGCTCTTGTCTTTAGAATAGTACTAATTGGAAAAGAAAATACAATAGGACATGAGTTTTGATGTTATTGGCTAGCTTGTGAATGGTTGAGAACTGATTATTTCCCAGTAACAGGCGTTCATGCAAAATACAATAACACAACTTTGTCCCCGACCATACTTTTCTATTAACTTTTTTTATGGTGTTAATAACCTCTTGACCCAAAACAAATTGAAAAGGAACATTTAATACTAGAAATTTAATTCTAAGGAGAAACCCACAATGACTTATGCCTTTTTTCACTGTAGTATTTTGTCTTAATTTCGGTTTTCAATTTGATTACATATTGTATTTTTCAGCATCATGTTTTAATATTAATTGTTTACTAAAATATGAGCATAAAATTGATCTCTTGAAATTTGCTGATGGAAATGTCTGTCAGGCTATTTCATGTTCAAATCCAGGCCCCTCTCCTCTGTGCACTGAAGTAGGTAGGGCTCTGGTTAAAGGACAAAAGAAAGAATGCTGTGTTTAAACCTGTGCTCTCAGAGTGTATCCTAACTATTTTTCATGGTCACAAGGGGCCACAGTTTAGGGTCTGAACCTAAAGAAGAGACTGGAGGGGAGTTTGTATTTCTTTCTTGGATTCTCCCTAGTTTATGTGTTCTTTTCCGACTTCTAACCCTTCTGCCCACCTTGAGGCTCCGTCACTCTTAGCAGACCTACCTGCTGGCTCTCAGAGAAATGGAACCGGTGGGCAGGAAATCCTCCCTGCCCTTGTGACACATGTGCTTTCCTTTACTTCTTCCCTTTCTCCTTCTGAGTCCATCGAGATCCGGCTCTCATCTCCTCCCAGATTTTCAGAGGCTTACTCCATTAATTGGCCACTTTTCCTCCTGTATCTTCCGCCCCTCTCTCTACCAGCTTAATTCCCATGAGCGTCTAAACATACGTAAGCTTTTCTTACCCATATGCCAACATTCCCGCTCATCCCCCATCTCAGTCTCTTTTCTATTCTGCCTTTCAATGGTAAAATTTTTAAAAGGGTCGTGTTTACTTGCTTCTCTTGAGTCTATTCTAGCCTAGATGCTAATGACCTCTTGTTTCCGCGTGCTCAGGGGCTATTCCTCAGTTGTTTATTTAGCTTTAACATTTGGCAGCATTTGGCACAGTGGACTGTTTCCGACTTCCGTAAACACTCTTGTCGTGGCTTCGCTGAGCCTGCATTCTTCAGGTTTTCCTCCAGGTTTCTGATAGTTCCTGCATCTGGTTTGACAGCGTCTCTGCCTCCTCGAACACCTCTGAAGTGTCGGTGGTCCTCTGATTCTGTCCCAGCAAATTCCACCTTCTCAAACTCTGCCCACTGTCCCTTGGAAACCCCTTGTGCTCACCGATTCCAGCCACATCCCCTCTGCTGGAGGCTTCCAATGTCCTGAGCCCCAGAACCCACTTTCTGCCTGACCCCTACCTCCTGTTCTGTTTCCCCACTAAACCCTGTTGCTTTTCATTGATCATTTTCACAAAGGTAGACATCCAGAATGAGTGAATCTTGACCAAATCCTTAAAGACACTAGTCCCTTGAGAAAGAAATCCGTTAAAAAATATTTACATCTCCCTAACTTTACCAATACTTTCTCTTAAATGCATTTTAATGTCAGAACTGTTGTATCAGTAACTGAATTATCCTGGAATACAGTGATGCTGTTGGGGCTGCTGAAATCTCTGGGCTGCCTAGCGCCATAGCTAACAATTCAGCCTGCCGTGCCTTCTGACTTCATGTGTCTTTCTATTTAAACATCTTTGTTATTGTTGTTTTGCCTGGTCCTTTGCTGTTAGGCTTTTTACTCTCATATCCTGTTGAGTTCGTGGCACACTTGTCCCCCCTGCCGATATTTCCCTCACTTTTTCCCATCTTGGCACAGAAATGAATCCACCTAACTGAATCCTCAGGACATTCACTGGTTCTAACTGAATAGGACATGGAATGTATGGCTGGTTCTCAGAATTACCTGACAAACATTTTCACATTTCCTAGACCAGCTCCTCTCCTCCCTGAATCTAGCATAGCCCCCTGAATATACATAACATGAGAACTAGATGTGAGGGAAGTTTGGCCCCTTCAGCATGAAAGTCGCCCCAGGTGATCTGACTCTCCCCCTCTCCCCCACCATACCGTAGTCCTGTAGAGAATCACTAGCTCGGAGCATCTTTTATCTTTCTTTCTTTTTTTTTTTTTTAAACATACTTCTAGTTCTTGGTTCTAGTTTAGGTGCAGGATAATGGAAGCATTGTTGAATTTACATTTCAATAAATTTTTACAAGTCATAGTTCCCATGTGTTTCTGTTTATTTATCCTGGATCTGCAGTTAGCTGTAAGAGGAAGTGTAAGGAATAAAGGGTTATTTGGCCCAGTAAAGCCAGAAAGTTCTGCTTCTGTAATCATGGGAAAAGGACAAAGCCCTCAACCTGGGAAGGCTGTGCCTTGGGATGCTGATAGCAGCTCACTGGCCTCTGCTGGGCTGGGAGATTGGTGGGGGTACCCAGCCAGCCGTATAGGCTGGTCGTCACTGGTCAGTCACACTCAGAACTTACCCAGGACAAGTACACTGGAGTAAGAAGGGACGACAGCCCCAGCTACTAAGAAGCGTTGGGAGCAGCCTTTGCACTAGCTAGACCTTGGCTGGAATCCTGGCACTACCATTAGTAGCTGTTTTCTGTTGGGCAGGTTTACTCCTCTGTGCCTTCTGTTCCCTCTTTGTAAAACAGGAATAATGGCATCTGCTTCACAGAGTTTTAATAGGGATTAAATTAGGTAATGTATGTAAATTGATCATCC